AAAAAAAAAAAAAAAAAGCCTGTTGTGGGGTAGGGGAGATGCAATTTTATATAGGATGACCAGAGAACACTTCATTGAGGTACTTTTCAGCAAAGACTCCAATGCAAAATTCCATGAGGTAATGGAACAAGCTACTTTAATTTTCACCGGAGAGTTTTCCAAAAGAGTGTTCCAGGCAAAAGGAACAGCAAGTACAATCACTCCAGGGTGGGTGGCTGCCTGGCTGAGAAACTGACCCTGGGGTTTTCCAACATGAAAGAGGCTGGAAAGAAAAGGGAAATGCAAAGAGATTGGGAAGGATCAGCCAGTAAGCTAAGGAAGAAAAGCAGGAGGGTTTGATACCTTGAAAGCCAAGTGAAGAATGTGTTTTGTTTAAGAGAACCAACCACCTATGTTAAACTCTGCTGTTAGGTCAAATAGGATGAGGACTGAGAATTTACCATTGGATCTAACAATATGGAGGTCATAGACGACTTTTATAATAGCGGTATTTTTAGAGTAGTTTGAGAGCAAAAGCCTGATGGGGTAGACTTAAAAGAGAGGGGGAGGAAGAACTGCAGACAGTCATTTTAGACAATTCTTTCAATCAGTTTTATTGTAAAGGGACACAGAGAAATGCGTAGCTGAAAGGAGAGATAGGATCATAGGAGGATTCTTTAATATTTCAGCACATATGTTTTGTTGATGGGAATTATCCAGTAAACAAAAGAAAACTGACAATGCAGGAGAGAGAGAGGAGAATTTTTGTATCTATGTCCTTAAGTGGGCAAGAGGGAACAGGATCTAGTGAACAATTGGAAGGATTGGCCTTAGATAGCAGGAGAGAGAGAGTTCATTATAACACTAGCAGTGAAAATAGAATATATACTGGTAATTGGGTAATATGGCAGTGGGAAGTTCTTTTCTGATTCCTCTGTTTTCTCTGTAAAACAGAATTGTAGCCAGCCTATAAGATGGCCTCTGATGATCCCCACCTCCTGGTATTCACACCCTGTGTAGTCCCCTTTCACCCTGTACCAGAGTTAGTCTGTGTGACAGATAGAATATGGCAGAAGGGATGGTATGTCACTTCAGAGATGAGGTTATAAAAGATACTGTGTCCTCTCTCTCTTTCTCTATCATGCTCTCTCGCTCTCTTCCCCCCCCCCCAGCGTGCACTCTCATTCTTTCCATCTCTTACTCTTGCTCTCACTCTCATTCTCACTCTCACTCAGATCACTTCCTCTGGGGGAAGCCATTTATGTCATGGGAAGTCACGTAAAAAGGCCCACATGGCAAAGAACTCAAGGCTCCTGCTAACAGCCAGGTGAATGATCTTGGAAGTGGATCCTCCAGCCCCAGTCAGGCCTTCAGAGACTATATAGTCTTGGCCAAGAACTTGACTGCAATCTCATAAGAGATCCTGAGACAGACGACCCAGCCAGAAACTGTATGAGATAATATTTGTTGTTTTCAGATGCTAGATTCTGAGGTAATTTGTTACACACAGAGAGATAACTAATACAAATAGAAAGCAAGTTCATCAATTAATAAAATAGAGGAAGAGACGTTGGAGGTTTGAAGAAGGTATAAAATAGTCATCCAGAAGAGTAGAAGTGTGAACTAGAAACATGTACAATTGCCAGACAGCCTTAAGGACCCATGTGAGGTTCATGATTATGAATTTAAAGTGAGACTAGTCAGCATGGTTGAATTTTTTCCTTCAGTTTCATGGTTACAGGCATAGCCATAGGTAGAAATTTTACTTTTAACCAGGGTTGAGGTTTTACCAAACTATTACTCTCAAACAAGAAAGGGGCAAGAGAGTTAAAGTTGAGCACAAGGGAGTGATTAAATGACTGACCATGGAATTTAAGATAGGTAATATGGGAAAGGATAACAAGTGGGTAAGGGACCTTGTAAAGTTTGTAGGATCAAGAGATTGTAGGCTCCAGTGGGGATCTAAGGTTTGTTAGAGCAGGATACTAGAAGGAATGCACTGAAAAAGTAAGAGGTGGTGATCCAAGAGTGGGATGCTTGAAACTGCAGATATTGGTACTGTCACAGTTTGTGGTATGACCAAGGGAGGGAGTAGGAGGACAAGATTACTGGAGAAGCGGTCATAGAGATGAGGGCAAGAGTATCAAGAAGAGTGCTGGCGAGAGCCAGGAGCAACAGTCTTCAGGGAATTTCAGGAAAAGACCTGGAGGCTGGTAGATGAGTGTAGCCTGGAAAGTAGCGAGTGATATAGTCTAATATCAGATTCAAAGCAAGAGGTGAAGCTGAGAAAAAAAGGAGCTCCCTTTTCATAAATAATAAAATAAAAACTAAATGGTTTGTAAATAGCACTGAGTAATCAAGTAACAAGAAGGAAACCCATCCCACATCCACCCAGAAGGGTGAGGAAAAGAAGATACCACTGGAGAGGGCCAGGGGGAGATTGATTTGCACACCTCCATACGTACACACACACACACACACTCAGAAGAAGTGTTATTAGGTAGCTCCTTGCTGTCTCTAACCCTCTACCTCAGGTCTGTGCCTCCCACTAGCTGCTGTGCCAGTGGCTTCATATGAATCTATACTCTTATATGTCTAGAGAGATCACATCTTGGGCCCTGCACCCATTTTCTGACGTTTTCTCAAGGCTTATCTTCTGTATGGCCAGAGTTTGTTTCTCAGCAAGGGAACTGTTTGCTTAGAATTGTCTGTCTTCTTCAGAAACTCGAATGGGTATTGCTGGCAGCAGTCTTGCGGCCCTACTCCAGAGCACTCTTCACTGGGCTAATAATCTCTGATGTGTGTGGCTGGGGGATCCCTGGCCATCTCTGCACAAAGCCCTGAGTCATTGGGTCTCTGGCAGTGGTCCACCCCACACAGAACTCAAAAGTGTGCTGCTTGGTCGTCACTTTGTGGCTGACTGACACCCCCTTTGTGGCTGACTGACACCCCCCACCTGTAACAAATTAGAAAACTTGGTCTCCTGTTCATCCTAAGGGCCCATCCTAAGGAGAACCTCTCTGGAAGTGGGAGAGCTGCCTATTCCCACTCTGATGGGATCTGGATATCAGGATCTGCAGGCAGCTGAGTCGTACCCTCTTCCACTCTCTTTCCCAAATGTAAGCAGGATTCCCCAGGGCTAACAGCCAATGTTCTGGGATATTTCCTGAAAGTTCTCTTTGTTCCTCCTCCTCCTTACCTACCTCACAGAATA